GTCACCACTGCAGCTGATCTTTAATTTGGTACAAGCACAGAAATAATAAAACCCCCCGCCGGGGTTAGACTATAATACTTATTTTAACATTTTACTGGCCTTATAAACGAGCATTTCTTAATATATTGAAAAACTTTACTAAAAAATAGGTTACTTTAAAAATACGAAGAATTGTGTAAATTTAAAATTTAATTTAATTTTTAAGATCAATTCATAAGCTTTAAGAATTTTCTTACAAAAAATCACATGTGAATCTTAATAAAAAATCTGGGATAGTGTTCTGAGAATTAAAATATGCAAAAAAGTTTTATACAAATCAATTTCCAAGGTGTGTGTGTGCTTGGATACATTGAATACATAGAACCTACATTTTTTTTTCTTTTCAACTTTTATAGAAACACATGCTTCTCTTCTACCTGACCTTCTCTTTCCCAATAACTAAAATGGACCTCAAAATCAGTGTGTTTTCATGCATCACTTATCCAAGAGGTATTTTTACATTTAAGAATCTATAAAATAAAATAATGATAACTCCCTTGTCCCAGAAATTCAGATATAAATTAAAATAAAAGTGTACGTTTTTCTTGGAAAAGTGTAAATGTACCAGTTAATTATAATAATCAATACACATGTACTAATTAATATCACTTTTATGTCAGCTTACAAAACATTTTTCAATATACTGGTCATCTACAGCATTCTAGGCAGACTGGTGACTACAGCTCCTACCTTTTGCCAAAATTAAGAACTAAAAAAATAAGTTTGACTTCTTGGCCTATATCTATAACAATGCTAAAATCATAACTGCAATTAATTTTTTCAAAAAAATCAAAAAACTTCAATTTTTTCTTCTTTTTTTGTTGTAACATTAGCCTCTAAAACTTCAATATATGTTTTATTTGCAAAAAAAGTCTATAGGTTGCATCAAATAAATATGGCAGGATAATAATATCTAAAAAAAAAAAAAAAGACAAAAAGGCAATTTTAATGAAAAAATCAGATTAAAAATATAGAATGAAGAATCTTTAAACTTAATATCTCATTTAGCGCCAACCAATTGAGACTTTCATATGGATGTCATTTAGAAATATCTAAACTGTCAGCTGTATACAACTGCTTCCTAAGATCAATAGTGAAAATAGGCTATGAACAACAAGTGAAGCCTAAGGGTCTTGGCAAAGATCATCCTTTTTTGAACATTGTAGACAGGCACTACTGATTCACAAACAAAGAACTGTAACAAATAAGAGAAACCATATCAGTTGAGGACTACCAACAGTGGCATCAACTAAAATGGATAGCAGATATAACTCAAAGAGAAAATAATGACATAATCAAGACGTTAACATTCCACACTATTTCAAATAAAAGGTTAGGAAGAAGCCCCCACCTCCCCTCTCCTCCAGACACACCATCAATACTGGAAAGAGCAATAGCAGCTAATGGTTATGAAAAAAATAGTTTTCCTGAAAAGTTGTTTTAAGAGAAATAGTTTATAAATTTCAATCAAAAGTAAGTACTGACTGCTTGGTCAATGAATGCTAAATGTTTCCTTATAAGGAAATGGCTAATATTACCATTACCTGAATTTAGCATCTAATTTATTCCCCATCCACTTTTTATTTAGTGATATGCTGCTTGCTGGTTTCTATACAATGTGAAAATGGTTACTGGCAATATTCATGAAGTGGTTGCTATTTTTGTACAATTTTCTGCTTCCCTTGTACAGTAGAATAACATTTAACCAAACTTAAAAAAATAAACAGTACTTGTTTGAAAGAATGGTCCCAGGTGAAATTTTATGCTTCTGTCACAGATGGAGTTACCAATTTTGTTTTTTTGATTGTATTTTAACAAAGATTACAAGCATGGTCCTAAATGTTTTCATCCCAGATGAACAAAAATAAAATACTGTATATACTTGTGTATAAGCTGACTTCATGTTTAGTGCAACCCCTAAATTTTTTTTGAATGAATTTTAACCACACCAGAAAAAAATTACATGTGCATAGTAGAACAACACTGAAAATGCATGATTTTTAACCTCTTAAAAAAAATTACTTGTGTATAGTGCAACCCCCTATTTTTTGTATAAAAAACTGATCATAAAAACTTGCACTATACTTGAATATATACAATGTAAGTTATTTCATTGTAAATTTCAGTTTTTAAATAAAATATTTTCTTCTCTTTGGTGCTTATATCTTGGAATGTTCAGAAAAAATATTCTTTCACTTGCACACTGTTAACTAACATGATCATGTTTCTTAAAAGTTGTATATTATTTTGAAAAAAATAATGATTTCTAGCAGAGTGTCCCTTGCTTGCACAGCTTCACCAAAATATTTGTATAAGGTTTATTTGAAAAGTTCATAGGCTGACTATAAAGGAGTGATGCTAAATCTGTGAAATCATGCATGCATTAATTTCAACTCTTCTTATTAATAACTGCATTGTTTATTTCCAGGTAAATTGACATCTGATTGTTCAAAGAAAACTTTGAAAGTAACTAATAGTGACTTCTCTTGATTGTTTATTTTGTTTTACAGCATATCAACCACAATGGGTTATTTGATACCAACAATTTTTATTGCCGGTAATATTTTTTCCTTCAAAAATGTATCGCTGGTAACATATTTTTTCAAAAATGTATTGCTGGCAATAATCTTTCACAATGTATTTTTGGTATTAAAACCTATTTTTACACTTTCATAGTGTTTTGACCCTAGTTTGGGGGTTAACTATTTGCCCATAGTTAGGACTCTAACAAGTGCTACAACCCTGGGTCAGAGTGGACCTGGGAACACCAGCAATTAAGAGGTGGTTCCATACTCCTCAAAACCTCCTGATCAGAGGCCTTGTTGTTGGACGTAGTTTATAGTTTTACCCAGGATGTGGATGTAGTTTATCATCATACCCAGGACAGGGGACTTCTCTTGAAAATGGATAAAATTTGGCATCATGGTGTTATCAAGTAACAGCAGAAAAAGGGTCTAGCCCCCAAAGGCATTCATGCTGACATTGTTGCTACATTAAGGGATGATACTCCAGCTTTATCAACAGTGCAAAAATGAACAGCTGAATTTAGGAGAGGAAGGGAGAGTCTTAAAGATGGCCTAAGGTCTGGATGTCCTGCAACTGCCACCACCGAGGAAAACATTGATCGTGTTCACCACAAAGTGTTGGATAACAGGTGATTGACTATAAATCAAATAGCCAATGCTATTAGCATATCTTGTGGAGATATGAGAATATTCTATACAATGAACTTGTCATAATGAAGATTTCTGCTCAGTGGGTGCCTAGTCTTCTGATACCTGAGCAAAAGCGGACGAGGCTGATCACATCATGGGCAAATCTGACATTGTTTGAGGCAGATACAGCTAGTTTCTTTGAAAATTTCCCAACCCAGGATGGGTGTTGGTTTCATCACTTTGTACCAGAGACAAAGAGACAATTCATACAGTGGAAACACCCCTCTTCATCTACTCCAAAGGCCAAGGTCATTTCATTTGCAGGGAAGGGGATGACCTCAGCTTTTTGGGATGCCAAAGTCATTGCGTTTATTGACTATCTTCAAAAGGGCCACACCATCAGTGGAGAGTACTATGCCAACTTGCTGAGGCAGTTCTGAAATACTATCAAGACCAAATGCTTAGGAAAACTGATGAAAGGAGATGTCTTTCATCAGGACAATGTTCCAGCGCACAATTAGTTTCAATAGCTGTTGTGCATGAATGTAGCTTTGAATTGATCACCGTCTCTGTTCTCCTGATTTGGCCCCATCTGATTATCATCTATTCTCCAACATGAAAAATCACTTGGTTGGGAACCAGTATCACATTGATGATGATGCCATGTCTACTGCTGATGACTTTTTTAACCAACAGTATGAAAGCTTCTTCACTACAACATCAATGGAAAAAGTGTGCAGGCTGAAAGGATTTTGAAGAATAAAAACTCATTTGGTCACACTCCATGAGAGTATCTTAGTCAGGCTATGAACTTTTCAGCTGGTCCTTATATATTCCTTATTCATTTTATGCATCTGAAATTAATCCAGGTCTGTATAACATTTAAATAAAAACATGAACATGCAAGAAAGATTGGAAGGTCTGGACTTGGTTGGTGGATTTTACAACATAACATTTTTCAGTTTGAATTTCTGGGATGAAGAGTTATTATATGCCCTATTTACTTTTGGACTATTATCCCAATCTTTGTTCTTGTTATCACAACATTTCAGACATTGTGCCCTCTGGCCTTCATCAGATTTATATTGGTCTGGGTAACTTACAGGAAGTTCTGAACTGAACCACTTATTTAATTTCTTGTTTCACAGCCCATATCTAGATACATCTCATCTATTTCTGGACATATTAATTGTGAGTTCAATCCCTGGGCTGGACAGTGTCTACTTGGACTCCGTGGAAACAGGTGAGCAGTAACTAAGCATTACTAAAAATGAGAACTAGACAAGATATCCCTAGACATGGCAGTGGAACAAGAACAGTTTAAGCACCATAGATTAAATAAAGGATTCCGTTTGGAATTCCCTGTAGGTTACCCAGATTGATATACACCTGGTGAAGGCCAGAGGGCACAACAGCTGAAATGTTGTGATAACAACAAAGATGAGGACAACAGTCCAAATGTAAATAGTGTAAATAACAACTCTTGTCAGGCTATCCAATGTTGAAATTTGAATTCTTCTTATATGTTTGATTGATTTTTTTTTATAGTTTATCAACCTTTTTCAGGTTATTTAAAGCCAGAAAATATCTTTAGATTGTAAAAATCTTTTTTTGATAATAATGATTTCCTGATACACATCCTACTAATTAACCCATAGCTGGGGGGAAAGAGGTGGATTCATACTTTTCCCAAAGGTGCACAAGTGAATATAACAAACTCAACTAAAACTGGAATGTGGCTCTCCAACCTCTAATTCCAAGCTATTTTTAATTACACCACTTGCACATCGAAGTTTACAGTACCTGCTGGTATCCCAAAGAGATCACCCATCTAGATACTGATCAGGCTCAATTTTGCTTAACTTCGGTGATCATACAAGAACTTGTGTTTCGACATGATATGGTCGTAAGTCTTTTTATTATACTTTAGTTGATAGATAAACATAAGTCATGTTTATACTCACATTTTTAAGCAAACATTGTTGATGTTTATTCTTGAGTTTATAGGTAAACACTGCTCACATTTATAGCTGGATATATGTAAACACTGATTATGTTTATACTTCCATAGGTAAATATTTAGGGCATTTCTACATGGTATAATGGCTAGCAAGTTTGTCTCACAAGACGAATTATGACTGAAGTGTAAGTTCAATCCTCCCTGGGTGCTCATACTTTCAGCCATATGCCACATCTAAGCTATGCTTAGGAAATCATTTGGGCACCTCAATGTGGTGTAATGGTTAGCAAGCTTGTCTTGCTAGAACAGTTACAACAGAGTAGCGAGTTTGACACTTTCAGCCTTGTGCCACATCTAAGCAACACTTAAAATATCCCATAGTTAAACATTTGAAATCTACACCCGAGTCCACAAGCATCCACCCGGCAGGTAATCACTTATAAAAATTATTTATTATAAAATTACAAAAGTGCTCAAAAGATTTACAAAATCTACTTAAAAATGAAATAAGATAGAAGAAAGAATCTTGAACTTTTTCTCTGTCCTTAGATTTTTTTTTAACAAATGTTATATAAAATTTAAAAGGTTGTAAGATAAAGAAAGGGTATAAAATAAATGCAGACCTCTTCTAGTCTCCAAAACTTATTTTATGACAAGCCAGTGAGTTGTTTTCTCAAACCAATTGTTGAAAGGCATATTTGAAAGTTGATTTGATCTCAAGAAGCAAATATAAAAAGCTAAAAAAATCAGCCAGGGTCCAGAAGAGATCAGACAGGGAAACAGATATGTTCAAATCTTATTCAAGAAAAAGAAATACAGTAGAACTTCAGTTATATAGTCCATTCCAAAAATGGAAATGCACAAAACCAAGCTAATATTCCCATAATAATGTATATCCAATTAATCTGTTTCACACATATGAAACTGTTAGCAAAATACACTTTATAAAGAATAACTAGATTCCTCTCTCTTACTAAAAAAACTGTCCAGAAAAGTTTGTTTTTGTCTCTGCTTTAAAATGTCTGAAATGTAACATGGAATTGTCATTAAACATGTTTATGACACATCTTGCAAAAGCTTTATTAGGATGATATTTTTCAACAAAACTTTGCACTTCATTGCCATTTTGAACAAATCTTCTAAATCACTGAAGAAGGCACATCCTCCTCTTCCCCTATTTCCTCACCTTCTGTTTGTTGCTGCTCCAGCTGAAGAGCTTGGAGGTCTTCAGTTGTCAGCACTTTCCTGTGGTCCTCCACCAACTCCTGCCCATTCACACTCAAGCCCAGTGATTTCCCAAGGACACTCTCAGAACTTTCTTTGAACCCATGTTGGCATATTTAATAGCAATATTATTGGCCCTGATCTGGCATCTCAGTTTCAGTCACTTTCCAAACATCATAGGGTTGCCTCTCTTTGCCTTTTCTATAAATACTTTCATGGTAATTGTACAGACAAGCTCTCTGCTATGGTGCATAAAGTCTTTGCATTCAAGCACAGTACTAGAATGGCAACAAGGTCTCACCAATTTACAGTCAAGCTGGCTCGATGTAACTAAATTCCATGCTAACAGTTTCTTTTCTCCCACTTCTCCATTGAGCAACCTCCTTCCAGCCCCATGCTTTCCTTCAAACATTAAACTTCAAAAATTTAAATGCCATGTCCTCTGATTACTTTTCCTCTGTTCTTGCTCCTTAACAATGTTTCCGTTTCTAACTCTCCTCACCCAGTAATCCCTTGCATCTCGGTGGCTTTACTGCCTTGATAAAAGAAAAAATATGGTTACATCTAGCTAGTTCAACAGTAAAATGGTGAGACGTAGTTGCCAATTTAGTAGTATGCTTAAATTCATGTGATCGAGATACCAAGGAAGAACGCTCATCAGAACACTTTCCCTGAAAATATTTATAGAAAAGACAGAAGGAAGCTATGATCTGATTGATGCTGCTTTCCAAAAGCTATGAAATGATAAAAAGCAACTAAAACTAAAACAAAAGAAATGTTATTTCCAAATTAATAATACTTCTAGACAAGATCCTTTTTCTTGCTCAAGTAAAAAGAAAAGGAAATGTTATAGAGTAGTTTCACAGTGGAGGCTTGTATTTCACTAAGTCGGTCCTAAAAAGGTTCGACGTACAAAACGTTAGGAACTTGATATAATAGTTAATGACGCAGCAATCTAGTTGTGGTGGTTGATACTTTAATGTCTGACATCGACTGACTCACCAACTCACTGAGCTCCCTAGCAACTGCTACTACTACTACTTATTATATGTGGGAGAGTCTATTAACAATAGAATAGGTATGTTCCAGTATAACAGGAAATTAATCTATACAGAAAAAAAATTAGTTGGTTCATTAGGAACACAATAAAAACATCTTCCACAGGGTGAAATTGAACAAAAACAATTGGTTTATTTGCAATAAATTTATGCAAAAACAAAAAAAAAGTATGTAAAGGTTTGTGTTGCATTCCATGTTGTCATGCATAGTGGTATTTCTTTCTTTTACTCGTTTTATTAGAGGAGGGGAAAAAATGTCAGCTTTGATTCTAGAAGGTAGCAGGAGGAAGAACTTCAGGAGAATACATGCCACTCATTGGCTTAACATCCTTCTGCATATGGCCTTAGCTTCTCTTTTGAACCTGGATGTAGGAAATCTATTGACACTTCAAAATTCCTGCGGTCCTCTGCTGACTTGACTCTCTTTTGGACTTATATCCAAAACCTAGACAAAGGCAATCCATCACTGTCAGAATACCATACCCATGAGGTATTTTGACCAATCACTGACCAGCCTGGCCATCATATTCTGTAACACTTGCTCAAAATAGTTTTGAGTGCCAAAGAAAAATTAAGCTACGTAGAGAAAAAATGTTTATGTGAAATTGGGATTTACATAGTTGATAAAGTTAAAAAATGTCCTTGGCAAAGGGATACAACAAAAGGCCATGTAGTTGTTGTTGTTGTTCTGACCTGTCAGTATTCCAGAGGTCAATTGTGGAAGTAGTAAAGAATGAGGAATGGCAAATGAAGAATTCTTCACAGCAATCTACCCTCAAGTAGTCTAAGAAGAACAAATTGTCAGTTCTTAGCTTTGGTGATATTCTCCAGATTTTTCGTTGGTCATGTGTCCTTTTGATGTTTAAAGTTCTTCTCACTCTCCACTGAATTATAAATTACTTTTTATAAAAATATTTTAGAATGTTGATTTACTTTATTAAAAATAAATTACATTAATATTTAGTTTATAAAAAAAAAAAGAAGATTAATTCATTTTGTTTTGCATTTTCGATTTACTTTAGAAAAAAAATAATTAAAAACAGATGTTTTATTGAATTATTTTTTATATGTTAATTTACTTTATTAAGAAATAAATTTCTTTATGATTTACTTTATTAAAAATAATTAAAAACAAAAAACGGGTTCATATTTTATATAATGCCTTATTGGAAGAAAAATATTCATTAAGATTTTAATCCTTAATAAATTACTTTTATTTGGTTATAAAAAAGTTGTTTTCCCTGTCCTGAGTTGTCCTGGTGCTCAGTCAGTGGTGTTGAGTTGTCCTGCACATTTTTACAAGAGACAAATCAGGCTAAAAATGGAGTATTGTTGCCATATTTGGGCAGGAGCTGCCCAGTCTTCACTTTCCAGTCGCATAGGGTCCAAAATCATCTCCACATCCTTGTAGGTGACAAATTGTTTTCCACTCTACAACCTCTTTCCCACTGATGAAACGTCACAAGCACCTTGCTGCTCTATTGCTATTTCCGTGGAAAGTGTTCAGACAAACTACATTCCATAATTCCACCAGTTCTAACTTTCATGGATAAGACCTGCCATACTATGCACATTGTAGCAGACCACTCTTATTCCATATGTATTCCATTGGTGAGATGTAAGTTCCACTTGAGCAGCTTCTTTCCATGAACTGCTCATGAACCAACTCTCAAGAGAATTCTTCCCTAATCACTATAATCTTAATCTGTTCTAGTCTAGGGTTAACTGTTATCTTCCCAACATACCTGTTTAATTGTGCCTCTTACTATGTAACCCTCTACCTTGTGTGGCTTTGGGCCTTGCATAGGGTGAACATCATTGTAAAAAAAATCAATCACACACACAAGGATAAAAGAAAGGAAAAGAAAGCAAATAAATTGAATTCCAAAATTTTTACAATATATTCTCTATATAGTTATGTCGATTTACAAAAATCTTTTTTTTCTTTTAGTCCAGTTATTTCTTATGAACATAGTTTTTGTATGACAATAAACAGACTAGACACAGGAAGATTTTTTTTTTAATGACTGACGGTTACGTCTGGCTGCTACTTCTATTATTAGACAGACTACTTGGACTCTGACTGCTACTTGAATTAATTCATACAGTGGCTTTTTAGTTATGCTTTATGTAAGGACACCATAGAAGACACAAAATGTTCATGAATATTTAACAAAAAAATGATTGCCTCAATTCTAAAGTTTATGGGATTTAAAGGTTGTATGTTAGTATCTTGTAGAATTGTGTATATTCACATATAAACAATTAATGTAGAATCATACAAAAACTATGCTTTATTCTACAGACTGTTTATTCTTGGTTTTTATGGAAACTGTAGTGAAACAAAGTTCTCAATGTTTCTTGGATATGTTCATTTACTTTTTCTGGTCCAGAAGTAAATTAGGCAAGGATAAGAATGGTTAAAATGGTCAAACTCAACTCAGCTTTGCACTGAGTTGGAACAAACAAATTACTTATGTCATGAGTTACACTGTCAAACACAACTGAACACTGTCATTTCCAGAAGTGAGGTCATAAAATTGCGTAGATGACCAAAGACACTTTCTGCTTCCTTTATTACCAGCATCATGAGAAAATGTAAAATACATATTTTTTTTATTATTTATTATTATTTTATTTATTGATTTTATTTCATTTTCATTTAAGA